GCTATAATTTTGAAGCTAGTAACACAAAATTACTAATACTCTAAAGATTATTATCCAGTGATTCCATTATAGGAAGAAAGTTTTTTTCTTTCAGGATGATGTTGGCTGGATTTACAAGTAAAAGAATTAATTAATGGGATAGTTTGTTAAAAGTGATCAAACTAATTCAAATTATAGTAATTTCTTTTAATAACTGATAAGAAATAAATCTTACACTGTTGAAAAGATGGTTGTTTTTATTATCCAACAATTGCAAAATACAGTATATCATGAATGCTATCTATATGCTCTGAAAACTTAATAAATTATTTTCTAATGTAAATATAAATTATAACTATCACACAATTACTTTTTAAAAAGATCATTAAGTTTCTTGGGATTACTCTTGGTCCCTTTTCATATTACAGTCTTTCATATATAAACTTTATATATTTGAAAGAATGTATAGGTTATTTAATATGTCCCAGGTTGATGAGGTTTGTCTTGATTTGTTTTTTTTTCTTCTGTTAGCCCTGAAACTTAAGGCTTGTAAATACTTTATTATACAAGAAAACTAAAACCTATAATAAAAATTGAAAACTACCTTGGTTTGAAGAACAGAAATTATGGTAAGTTTATTTAATGAATATCTGCAGTATTAATGGTTGTAAAATGTAAAACAGCCTGAATTTTGTGATTAAAACAGAAATAAAAATAAAATTAAAACTAACATGAACTGACAATTCTTTATTGAAGAAATTCAGACAAGTTAAATAGCATATCAGTTTTTTTTGTAAGTATTTTTGTAAGTATTTTTGTAAGTATTTTTGTAAGTATTTTTGTAAGTATTAGATAATCATTTTTTCAGATTTCTAAAGAAACTGAATGGATAAACAAAAGAATAATTTTATGGAAATAAAATAATGCCTCCAGATATATGAAAGTAGCAGTTATAATTCTGCAACTCTGTTGCATTGTAATATTGTATTTTATTTTACAATTTTATATATAAATTAACTAAAATTTATTTTAGTTTAAATGTAATGTATAATTATAGACTTTTACCTCATAGTATTGTGTAAAATAGAATAAATCATTATATTTTAAAATTATCAAAACATTAATGTAAATTACTTCCAAAGTCCCAAAAGTTAAATATTTTAAAACTTCATTTTTCAGATAACTATATCTCTTTTTCAAAAAACAAGCATTAGTTTCCTTAAATTTCTCAGAATTTATGGCTTGAAATTTTATACAACTATAAATAGCCTTGAATATAAATGGAAAAATATTGGCCGAAATGCAATGAAAATTGTAAAGATGTATTACTGATAATTAATAGCTGTGTCTCAAGTAATGCAAATAAATTTGGTTGATTCAACAGTGGAAAAAGTAAAAGTAAAAATACTTTGCAATATTCATATATGAATTTCTTAAAGATATTCACTAAACTAAATTAAAATCTTTCTCAAACTGTAAGCTTTTATGTCTAACAAATCATCACTATAAAATGTGCAACTAGCATAATACAGGAATTTAAATAAAATTATAAAATACTTGCCAATTTCTGGTAAAAATAATTTTATGAAAACTATTAAATTTTTTTTTCTAATCAATTCACCCCAAGCAAGGCAATAACATCACTAAGACACAAGAATCTAATGAAGTGAAAGAAAAAAGATTAGAAAGAACCAGAAACCCAATCCTAAACAGGAAACAAAGGATAAACCTCTACTCCTGTTCAAAATACCAAGGAAGAGTGTGAATTGGATGATAAGCAAACATATCTACTCTTATTAAATTTATTAAATTAAATCTGAAAAAAAAATTTTAAATTTCAGTTATTTAATATGAAAATATATGTATATCTACAAACACAGAACAACAAATTGCAGGCCATATGTAACATTTGTTAATATATTTTTGAAATTATTGAATCCATTTAACTGCCTTGTATCTCCAAAGAAATATTCAGAAAATTAAACTTTAAAGAATGAAAAATTTTGATAAAGCAGCAGTCAAAATTTAACAATGAGAACAAAATACAAAATCTTATGAGAATATTGTGCTATAGAGAATGAATAAATGACAGCAATAAATTGGAAAAACCAGAAATTTAATCAATATGTATCAATGATTAACTGATTGAATTTTAAAAGATTATAAGAAACATTTTTACTATTTCAAGTTTCAAAATAAAGTAAAATGTTTAAACAATCAGAAAAGTGAGATAAATTAAATAGAAATACAATATATAAATCAAATATATTTCCTAACTCCATATTCTATTATTTCTCAAAATACTATAATTTTATTAAGCTACTAAGAAATCAAATTTGTTGAAAGGATTAAAAAAAAAAAGTAATATTTATACATTATAACTAAACATTTTTTCTTCAATAAAGCAGTAATAAATTAAAGCAATAAAATTCATGATAATTTCTCAATCACATTATTTGAAATGATTTTGTGCATAAAACATTTTCTTAATCTATTAATATAATGAAACCAACATTTAATGGTGAACAAGACAAAAATGTTTTGATTCATGAATCTACTTTTTATTTTCATCAATATTGACATTTTAGTTTGTTCCCAAATAAACTGCTTAATATATATATATATATATATATATATATATATATATATATATATGATAAAAAACATTAAAGTTTGTAAGTTCAAAAGAAAGTAAATTAAAAAAAAACAAAGCTATCAATAATGCCAATGATGTCTTGGGTGAATTAATGAAGCAGTTTTCATTATGTTTAGAAGAAAATTTAGTTCAGCTGTTAAAAAAATAAATGAAAAAGCTAATTAAAATCATCACAGTATTCATAGGTTTAATCAGGTTCATGATTTTAAGCTTCTGGCTATGTTCTCAGAAATTAAAAGTAAATTTCCATTTTTAGCATTTATTCTCTAAAAGTAACATGCAAATTTTAAAGTGTGTGTACTAATTTAGTTGTATATGTACTGAAGTCTAAATTAAATCTGTGTGTGTGTGTGTGTGTAACTGAGAGAAAGAGAATATGATGGAATAGTCAATATATAAGATAATCTGAAAAACTTTGATCATTGAAACATGTCAAAATAGAATTTTTATAAATTGTCTTATATATATATATATATATATATATATATATATATATATACAAAATGAAAAACTGCTGAAAAGTGATGGTTTTCATGTCATTTTTCATGTGGTGTGTCTATGTAAGAGTAACAAGGAAGTTTTAAGGAAAATAGAAAGAAAAAGGATGCTGATATGTAGAATCAGAAAGAGACAGCTGAAATTTCTAGAATACAATGTGGAAGGAGGGCTTAGAGAATTTGATACTCACAGAGTGAAACCACAAGTAACCTACCCAACAAATTTGTGTAAAGGGATGGCAAAACAGAGAGTGGGTGGGATGGTGAAAAAAATAATACAAATTAAGATCTTCATCCTGAAGATATATGTTACATAAAAAAAAGATGTTTAAGTTGGCTCAGTCCAACAAATTTTTCCTCATCAATATTAAGCAAAGATAATTTTGTATACAAACTTACATTTTCTAAAAATTTAATTCTCCTTACAAATCTTACACCTTAACTCCTTATATGACCTGAACTTTACTTATATAATATTTATATAACATTAGATTTAACTTGAAAAAAACAAAAAAACAAAACAAAACACTGAACAGTGAGTGAAACAAAAGAACTTTGAGGAAAAGAGAGTAAATGCAAAAAAAATGGCTATTGGGATGAGTGTAAAGTTATTTATATCAAGTCAGAGATATGCAAGGAGCAGTTACTTGAATCTTGAATTCGATATATGTTGTGAAGAATTCAATTGCCTTAAATTTTGATAAAGAACAAAATAATATGAATGAAGCATTTTAAGTTTAAAAAGAAAATCTTTTTAATCAAATGGAAAAATAAAAAACTATAATAAATATTAGAAGTTAGTAATCAGTTTACACAGCAAGATTTAAATTATTTCTTTTTCAGAATGTCTATTATCCAAGAAATAAAATAAATTTGATTTAAAAATCAGTGAGTGTCCATGATAACAGATCTGAACAATTGTCACCGTTTTTTTCTAAGAGGAAAAGAGTATATTTTTTAATGTGTTAAACTGGTTAAACAGGATATAAATAAATTTGAATAAGTTCAAGTAAAAGAAGAAATTTAGAATATTTCTATAATGGAATAAATGAACTATAAAATTATTTTATTTTTATCAAACTTTTCTTACAGTGTTTATTTGACTAAAGCTAAAATATTTCCATTTTCTTTAAGGAATATAAAGAATGATCCTCACTTTTGTGTTCAGAAAATGTATAAGGGAATAAAGAAATCCATACAAAAAGCAAACATCATAATGGGGAGTGATCATCAAAAATGATGCTTTAGTTCAAAAAATATTTAACAATTTTCTTCAAAAGAAACTTATTTAAAAAAGAAAACAAAAATGATTGTAAAGTTTTTTCTCTTTTTTTTTAAAGGAATTTTTAATCTTCATTTAAATATACTGAAAATAGAATCTGATTGAAATTTTTCAAGTTAGGTGATAAATATCAGAAAATTGATGTAATTTTTATTGAATTTAGAAACACTGAACTTTTACAAAATTTAAAATACAATTAATATCGAAGTCTGAATTGGAATTGAAAGTATCACAAAATAATTTTTATGTAACTTGATATGAATCAATATTAATAATAAAAAATAGTGAATCAATATTAATAATAAAAAATAGTGAATCAATATTAATAATAAAAAATAGTGAATCAGTATTAAACTTTAGGAAGTTTTTTGAATTGTTTGCCAAAACAAAGAAATTCTATATGTAATACAAAGCCTTATTTTAGTAAATTTGTATGTAAAAATATGAAAACTAGGAATGAAATTGAACTGATACTTTATTCCTGAGAGTCTACAAGAATTCATACTCAAACTAGAATCCTGATAATTGGCTGAAAGTAAAAAACCTCAATAAATAAAGTTTATACTAAAAAGTTTATCTTTCTTACCGTTTTTTTCTTCGTATATTTAGTCCATTTAAAATTGCTGCATATTGTGATTGCTTCATTTCATATTGAGATTTTTTCCATTTCAGGTAGAGTTGCTTCCAAAGAACACTCATACTGATCTTATATTCCTCTCAATGGCAACTTTTAGGCTCAGATTGGCAATTTATATCACCACTCTAATCCAAGAGCTTGATTTTATTGTGGGCAATTGTTGCAAACAGTTATTTACAAAGAGAGTGGGAACAGGAGTTCATGCAAGCAGACAGAACAAGAGAAAAAGATGATTTGATAGAGAGAGGAGGGAAGAAAATCTTCCAGTGCATGAGTCCATATGAATGATCTGCTTGTTGAAAAGTTCTACAAGCATTATTAGAATGTCTAATTCTGGTTGAATAACTGGCTCTCCCAGTCCCCACTTAATAGCAGTAGTGCATGCTGGATAAGGGATGATAGTAGCAGTAAGAGTAATGACAGTAGAATCAGTAGTTGTTTCTAGTGCAATCCACAAATGTTTGCAGATCAATTTTTAAAGATAACACAGTGAGTATACTGTTACATTGGAGAACCCAGTCTGTTTCATTACAGACAATACTAACACTACTAGTAGTAGTAGTGGTAGTAGTGAAAGTATCAGTATTGTCATTGGGAAAAGGAGCATTGGCACTCAGTAATTATACCAGTCATGTCACCCTTCTTTGCCCACTTATCAGGCATCAACTTGCAGCTTGCTGATCAAATAACTGATACATAATCAAATACAGAGACAGAATGAGTAAGGAAGAAAAAAATTCCATAAAAGAATGATGTTGTGGAATGCTGAAGCAACAATGACACAAGAATCCTTTTCTTTATACAAATCTCTTGGGAACATGTTGAGTTGACAAAATAATTAGATTGGATTGATTGAAACTTTCCTGATCACAATTTATTCTCATTCTAACATTTGTTCAATTATGCATTTTTTTTTCTCTATGCACAAAAATCTCTGACTTTTTCATAAAAGAATATTTTTAAAAGTTGCACAATTCATGAATAAAAAGCATTTACGTTTAGAAGACAAAGAATTTGAGAAATATGTGCAGATGCTAAAATTCTATAATTTTATGATTCTTCAATTCTAAAACTGGTAACTCACCTCTTTAACAATTCAACTTTCATAATTATATTTAAAAAAAAAATGATTCAAATACAAAATACCATATTTCCACTATTTTTCTTTCTTTTTTGATATGTTACCAAATAAATGTAATGCCATAAATTAATAGCATTGGATATAAAATGACTTAAAAGTGTCTTAAGTAATAAAACTACAATTGAAATAGCAGAAAAAAGAATTATATTATTATAAAAGATTTTCTCATAATTATTTAAAATTGTTCTATAGAATACCATGAAAGTGTTTCTTATATAAGTAAATCTTTTGCCATAAATAAAAACAACAAAAATAATTAGTTCAGTAATATGACTGGAATGAATTTAATACAAGGCCATTGATAAACAGGCCTTGAAGTTGTATTCCTGAGGGCTCTCACTGGAGGCATGCATGTACTGGTTTAAATACTAAACTATCAGAATATTTTTTATAAGGGGATTGTTAGTGATTTTCAATAATTAGTTACTTAGTAACTCTACCAAATAATATGAATCAATTATTATTTTTTATTGATCAGAAAGTAGAGAAAATATAACTGGAAATCAAGCAGAAAATGATTTCAACTTTTAAAAATGTAGCACTTATGACAGAAGCATAAAAATAAGTATTTCAAATGCTAAGAAAGTTTGTTCACTGTGTTGTGTGAGACAATTTTTCTCTCTGTAATCTATCTTACATATCTATAAGTCTACTATTTATCCATGCTTAGAATATTGCCACCATATATGGTTTGGTTCCCCTGCTATTTATCTTGAGCTCCTTGATAAAATCTAAAGAAGAATCAGCAATATTATTGGTCCTGATCTGACAGCTCGGCTTCAGTCACTTTCCCACCACTGTAAGATTGCCTCTCTCTATCTTTTCTATAAATACTTTCATGGTAATTGTTTGGATGAGCTATTCGCTATTATGCCTAGTCTCTTTGAATTTAAGTGCAGTTTGAGACTAGTGAAACAGTCTCACCAATTTACAGTTGAGCTGGCAAAATATAGCCATAAATTCTATGTCAACAGTTTCTTTTCTTGCTTGTGGAACTCTTTTCCAGCTCCATGCTTTCTAGCCAACTTTAATCAGCAAAAATTTAAATGCAATGTCAATCACTATCTACTGTCCTCCATTTAACTCTTTTTTCTACCTGCTCACTATTAATATTTCTGTTCTTAATTCTTCCATACCCTGTAACACCTTGTGTCTTAGTGGCTTTACTGCCTTGCATGGGGTGATACTGATTAAAAAAAAAAAAAAAATAATAATGAACAAGAGACTTACCAATTTTGTCAATATTCAAAAGATTTATTCCAAAAAGTTTTATCATATTTAAAAACTTTCACACACATTATTTGCCATTATTTCATTGAATATGGAAAAAAGAAAGACAACTTCGAGACTTTCAGTGCTGGTTCTTTAGTTGTCTTAGAAGATTTAAATTAAATATTTCGGAACTTAAATTTAAATATTTCTTGAAAAATATATTTGATAATACAATTGCATCCTCTTCTTCCATATTGAAATGATGAATTTCAGAAATTAAGTTAGAGCTAAAAAATTTATACAAACATTTCTTAATTTCACATTAAATATTATGAAACAGAAAAGCATACACTGAATTGTACAAATCCTGAGGAATTTAACATTTTTTGTGATTGATTTCTTTAAAAAATCCCCATAATAAAAACAATAAATCTTCTCCTTTGGGACAATCTTTATGTGAAACATAATCATGAATATAAACAAGTGACATTTTCATATTATTGAGGATACTAGCTATAAGATCTCCAGAACCATGTCAGAACTTAGCAAATTGTTTTGTCTTTTCAAATAATGTGTCAAATTCCCATAGTAAAACAAAATTAAAGTCACTGTTGAGTAAATATGTGCAAATATCAATAAAACTATTTCATATATGCTCAATGGCCATACTAACATGCTGTATAAATGATTTAAATATTTTCCCTAGCTTTCCTCTCATTTTTTCAAAATTAGCTAAAAATGCTAAACTTTCATAATTTATATGTGATACAAATTTTTACAGAGGATCATTTGTCCTAACATCTCTATACATTTCTTTCATGCTGATCATTTTACAAAATTTCAAAACTTCCTCAATAAAAGCAATGGTTTCTCCTGTATCATCAATATTTAATAAAAAGTGGAAAACTTTTTGTCTCTCAATTGGGTTTGAACAAATTGATACTTCTTTGGTCTAGTTTGAGAGTTTAACAAATTGATTTTTTTCAAGTTCAAAAAGTCTTTCCACAATTTTGCATCTTCTTGCTATTTCCTTACCTTCAAAATAAAGCTATAATTTTGAACAAGCTTCAGTTATCCAATTATTATGAATACTTATAACTCTATGCCCCTATCAAAAAATAAGTATTTTTATTTATCCAAGGTTTATTTTAAAGTGTCACATTTATTGGAAAAAGCTTGATTTATATGATTATTGTCACATATAATTGCAATTGCATGTCCATTTAAAAGATTGATTAAATTAATATTTGTCAGTTTTTTTACATAAAATTTCTAAACCCAGAATCATCTTAATCAGTTGGTTGACCATATAAACATCATGATAAACAGAACTGTTTTTGCTAATTTCTCAGAATTTTCAGCAAAACCAAACATATCACCTCCTTGGTATTGTAAACTTACTTTGATCTACTAAAATTACACATTTTCCCCTTCAAAAGTTTTCTAGGTAGCTCTCCAAGAAAATTCAAATAATTTAATTTGGATATATTTTATGTCAAAAAAGTAGCTTGTAATCAGTTTAGAGTTTGTTATACAAAGATCTAGACATTAAAAATATTCAAATAAATGGACAAAAGTTTCTGACTCAACTGACATAACATATGTTCTTTAAAAACTTTTTCTTTTGGTCAGTTGTGAACTTAAGGTAATCAATCTGTGACCAGTGCTGAAAAATAGTAATGGTGGCTCTTAAGGTTGTATTTTCCCCCTAACTGCAGTTGCATAGCTAGAAGGAAAATGCCTTTCAACAACAGTTTTTGGATGATTAGGCAAAATACCTAAACACTGTTCATTGTAATTGCCATGGCACTCTGTTACACAAAATTTTGAGATAGATTAAGAACTGCAATAAAATAAACAAAATTTATTTTGCAAAAGTTACAGTTTTTTTTTTCTCAATAAACATAAAGTGATGTACATTATATTGTTAAATGAAAAAAAAAGAAATAAAGAAAATAAGTGAATATACTTTTTTCAATGTCCAAATAAATTTAAAATAATCCAACATAATCCAACATAATCCACCATAATCCAACATAAGTCTAAAAGATGAAAACTATAAAAATAAAAGAAAATAATATCAAAACTTTTCAAATTAAGCATACAAATCTTACTTTACCCTGGTTGTACAACTTCCAGGCCTTGTTATATAAATAAATAATCTTAATTTAATGTAATCACAAGTTGTGAAAATTGGTCAATTTCTATCCTTTTAATAAAAAGAAAATCTTAAATATCTGGTTGGCCACTGTGTAGCTACAAAAATAAGTTTGATGAATTTTAGGATAAATAAGAGGAGATTCTTATCAAGAGGAAAGTAAGAGCTCCTCTTTCAATCTTGGAAAAAATTCTTCATGAAAATCTTCACTCTGAAGGTATCTTGAAGAATAAAACTGGCTTTTTGAAGATGTACTGAAAAAAATCTTTCATTCTAAGAGCTGTTTTTGGATTATTGATTTCATTATTTTTGCAACATTTCAGATGATCCATTCTTCAGCTTTCACAATCCATATAAATTGGTGTGTTCTTTTTATATAGTGTTTACCAGTCATTTTGCCAGTGAATGACATTAGTAATTTGAACAAATCTTGGAATAATTATTCTCAAAATTACAGAGGGTATCTTTTGTCTTGTATAATAAATATAGATGTTTAT